GTTTTGACTTAAGAAGCTGTTTATCTTAGAAACTCTTGGTCAAGTTTGTTTTCCCAGCCATAACTTATGTATCTGTTTTGCCTCAATCAAAAGTTCAGGGTCCGTAGAAGAGTTTATGTGTAAAACACTAAGCAAAGTTGGTATGTAGCTTTGTTACTTCTTTACGCACATTGAATATTTAAATTCTTTGTTCCTTTATTTACTATTTCTCTTTTATCTTTACTAGCTAAGAACCAACATGCATATTAATATCCTTTTTAAAAAAAGTCATGATTTTCTCACTGTTCTTTTTTGATGATAGCATTTTAATAGACTGGCTTTTGATTTAATTCTAATTATTGAACTCCTGCTTACATAAAGTTATTTGCTCATTTATGCATACAAATATGTAGCAAATATTTCCTATATTCCAGCACTGTTGTTGATTCTGAGACTCTAACAGTGAATAAAACAGACAATCTCTGACCTCTTGGGGGGGAGACAGATAATAAATGAATAAGAAATACGTGATGTCAGGTGGTGGTAAATGCTTTGGAGAAAAATGAACAAGAAAAGACTTAATATTTTGAGATTTTTGTAAAGTGTGCCAAGGTTTTTATTCCTTGAGAATACAGCGTTTATAGGAATGGTGTTGATATGAATTCTGCTATCTCAGAGTTCTCTGGATTAAATTACTGATCCTGTGGACCTTATCAATGAGGAGATCATCTGTGAGTCAGGAAATGACTGCTTGCTTTTCATGGCAGCCTGCCTGTGGGAGACTGGAAATATTTTAAGAGAAGAATGGCTCCCGAGAGCTGATATGTGATATTTAAAAAAGCAAAAATATTGTTAAAATGGCCTTTACTTTTAATCCCGAGCTTTTAGGTGGTTTGTGAGAACACTTTGGGAAAAGAATCTCAACTACATTCAGTGCCATTTTATATCTGAATTAATGAATCTGGACCTTGTCCTGTGTTCTGAAATGGTCTGCAGTCTTCATCATTTCCAGGGCAGACACTATGAGGCCTGCTGACTGATGTTATCAGTAGCTTTTTTTTTTTTCATAGTTTTTGGGGAGATGCCTGTAGAGTGTTCATGTTTTTGTAATTTTGAGATGGAGAATGGAACATCTACATCCTGTTTTCCTTAACACTATGCCCTCTGACCCCTCTATTTAAGACCTTGGCTAGTCTAACAGGGAGCTTATTTCTTTGTGACAGGAAAAGGAATAATATTAACCATCAGGGCAACATGCTAATTAAATTTTAGGGATTTGTTTTCAAAGTAGATGGAAGCCAAGTTAACAGATATAATGTCTGAGTACACTGCAATTGAGTACTAGTTCCTTTGGCATATGAAGATTTAACTTCATTTACCAGCAAAACTGCTAAAAATATAGTGCTGCACTGGACTGTGAAGGTCTATAAATACCTGAGTGATACCTCTTCAAATCCTTCTTTCCTCTGAGGGCTCAAAGAAAATAGGTAAAGCAGACAATAACTGAAAAATACAAAACTAGATCATTCTTTCCTTGTGTCTGTCTCGTTTCTCTTCCTTGTGAAGTATGTGTTACTGCTGTTTGTACACCACAGGGCTGTTGAAGTGTTGCATAATTGAATACAAGTGAGGCTCCAGCAGCTATGTTTCTCTTGCCTTTCTATGTTTTGAAATAATACTAGTGCCAAGAATAAGACCATGAAACCTAGACTTCCAGTATTCAAATTCTCTTCCTAACACTCACTGTTTTTCTTCCCAAACCCAAACTTGACCTCTCATTGCCTTTTCACTCCAATGTCAGTTGTAGATGAAGACACAAAGAGATACACTAGAACAGAATGTTTCTTAAATTCTAGATGGAATCTGTCGTAAGCCATTTACTACTGTGGCAGCAGCCCTGAGTTAAGCTCATGTGGGTAGAGTTCAGAGTGAGATCGTGAAGGAGACAGGAGATCCACCCACAGGAGTGGCTTGTAGGCCACTGTAGTGTTCCACTCAGATGAAAGAGACAAAGCAAAGAATATAGCCACAGACCACCCTGGATTTTTCCATGTTCTATGAGAGAGAAGCAAAGACTGTAAGAGGCCATGCTCTTCGTTCTTGCTAACTTTAACACAGGTAATGAAATGAATTTGGAGTTGAAGTAACCTTCTTTAATCTTGAGAAAAAGCCAAATCTAGAGAATGAAAGGATATGTTCAGCTTTCTCCCACCAAGTGATCAAATATCAGTTTTCCAGAATTTATGTCAATGAAGCAAATTTAGCTAATGAAAGGATCTAGCTCATTAAAAGCTAAAACGTGGAGTGTCAGTTTGCCAAATAATCAATTCATGGAAAATTGATACTGGAGTATTTTTCACCAGATAAAAAACAGTGTGCTGCTACTAGATGCAGAGTGGAGGCCGCATGAGGACCAGAAGGAGAACCTTGCAAGGCTGACTTTCACCTTTGCAGCCTGCACGGGCCCATTGTTAGGAGAGCTTCCAAAGTTTTGAAATGAAGGCTGAAATCTGGACTTTTATGTGAATTGTACTGACATTTGCATTTTGGCAAATACTTAAAATACAAAAACAAAACTAACACTATCCACCTCAGAATTTCTGCTGCAGGTCCCCGGCACTGGCTGCTAGAGGTCCAGGCCTTCAGCTAGTGGAATGCAGCTCCAAGTGGCATATTTCAACACAGATTTTGGGTTTCTTCAACCAAATCTGAGTATTTAGTACCTCTCATAAAACAAAGAAATCTTTTTCTTAAGGAAAAAAAAGGCTTCAGAAGTTGGGGGAGGGACCTGACTTTTAATGCTAAAGACAGAAATGTAGAGAAAGCGAAGAGATCTACTAAGTGTTTGACTAGTAAGTAGAGCTTTGAGAACTTGAGCTAGAATTCAGGAAGTGTAGTAGGAACTCTGCGTGGAAACAACCAGTGTTTTTCAGGACATAGTAGCAAGAATTAGGGAAGAAGTTTAAGAAGACATATACTGAAATTTTTACTGTTTTTTTACTTCATTTTAAAAGGAAGCAGAAGCATTATACTTAGAGTAATTGTGAATTATTATTTTTTAATTTTAAATATTAATCAAATTTTTTGAGGGATGAGAGGTCACACTCATGAATGTCACAAAACTCTATGATGCTTTATAAGTTATCTTAAATTCTTTTTAATGTTTTAGGCTTCTCATAAAGATTGCTGCAGGCGGTCATTGTCTGCGCTTCTTTTGCAGTTTTTCATATTTCTAAAAAAAAACAAGTTTTTCATTGGAGGTGCCTAATAAATTGAATTCTTTGAATTATTTAAACATGTCTTCTGGTTTTAAACATTTATACATTAAATATATATTTTTCTTTCTGTCAATTCTAGATTATGTAAGGGGAGGTGACCTTGAGACCTAGAGGAATATAGAACATACCTATTAAAGACCCGTAAAATGCAATCCTTACTCTGAAATTCTCTGTGTGGATGTCCTTATCTTCTCAAAATATTTACTTGGGAATTTTATGACAGGAGGTTTCTTCTAGGGTTTTAGTATTCCCTGAGCTAGAAATGATATAGAATAAAGGCAGTCTTTGTGTTTCCCTTTGAATAAATTTTTTAAATAGTTGAAAAACAAGCTTCATATTTAAAGTAAAGCATCAGAGTCATTGTATTGTACTTATTTGGTTTTAGCTCTGGGAACTGACCTGAAGTTGTTTCTCAAAGTGAGGGTGTTTGGAGCAGGGTTTGTCTCTCATCTTAAGGCCTGACTACTATCACCTTAGTGAGATTTTGTTCATCCCCACATCCTCCTGCTCCTTTTCTCTTTGCCCTTTTGAACTATTTGTTGTATTCTTGGGATAACTCAAGCAAACAGAGAAGTTCTAGAGCAAGAGCTTGGCTTCAAATTTCCGGATCCTTATGTTTGCTGAAAAAGTGTCTAAATGGCAAGACCTTGCCTCAAATAGTTACTTGAAGAACATTTATCTCAAGATTGATCAGAAAGAGGCAGTGTGTACAGAAATTTTTTAATAAATTGAATCTCAAAATAGGGAAAATTTCCCAAGCAAGCCAATGTATTCTTTCATACATTGCCTATTGACTTTTTCACACGGCACCCTTGGTTATGTTGGAGTTACTTATTTTTAAATCATCTATAATATTAAAAATTGAAGGACATTTCTTCTGCATATTTTTCTTTCACCCCCTGAGGTAATGTGTTTACTACTCTATTAGGGACTTTTATTTATTCATTCAAAAAGTATTTTAAAGTCCCAATTATATGCAAGCTTTATACATGAATATAAGAAAATAAATCCATTAACTCATAAATATTAATTTTAAAATACTCAAGTATTATGCAAGAATTCACTAACCTGAGATTACTTTCTGAGATTATTATAGTTTATTGATAAAGAGCCTTTCTTCTGATAAAATAGGTGAAATAACAATTGCTTCAATTCACACTGCATTCTAATTTTAACTTGCTTCTGCTGTCTATAATGAGATCCCTTTCATACAAAACTTGTCTCTTAATTCATTTAATTTAATTTTATTTTTTGTCTAGTGTAACTTTTTTGGAGTAAGAAAGGAATTTTATAAAGTATACTTGATTTGAGATCTCTAAAAATAGTTGTAATATCCGTGCTCAGAAAAAAAATTTATTTCACTTATCATTATTTGATGTTACAACCTTCTCCTCTTTAAAGGAGGAGACAACATAATCTTTCCTTCCACTCTCCAGAGGAAAGTTTATAATAAAATGGTGACTTAACGCACTCTAATTGCAATCTTTTAAAGGATCTTTTAAAATAACTTTTCAGAAAATCCAACTTTTCCTAGAGTACAATGCTAAGTATAAAAGTGTTAGCTTCTTATATTAAAAAAGTTGCATGTTAGTTATTTTGAAAATTAGGTTTTTTTGTTTAAATATATTCAGAATAATTATTATGTTTGTTCTAGGATAATTATAGTTTTTGATCTGAGGGACTAAACAGTAATTTAAAATATCCAATAAAATAATTTGTTTTTTGATATTCTTTTGCTCTTAGATAATTTGGATGCTTGGGATTTACTCATTTGCCTGCCTTCAAGGAAAACTGATGGAAAACCCTGTGTATCCAAGGAAGATATGTGCCAGTTAGGTTTACATCAAAAGGTAACTAGTCTAAAAATATGCACAATTTTATCAGGCCTATAGATATTAACAGTGCAATTTTATGGCCCATAATGTTTTTTTTAAAAGTCTTGAAAAATTACAGCCATTAATTATATCTTCAGTAAGAGTTGCAATTGGCCATGTGTGCTAATCAGTTTGCTACTGCTATGACAACCGACTCAAGAAAAATTGGCTGAGAAAGAGGAAAGATTTATTTTGGCTCAGAGTCTCATGGGTTTAGGTCTATGGTTGCTTGACCTTTCTGTCTTTGAGTATGGAGAGGTAGTACATTATGACCAGGATCATGTGGCAGAGGAAATTGCTTATCTCATGATGGCCAGGAAGCAGGACAGGAAGAACCAAAGTCTTAATGTCACCTGCAAGGGCATACTTCCAGTGACCTAATTTCTTTCAGATTGGCCCTACCTCCTAAGGATCTGTCACTTCCCAATAGTGCCAAAAGCAAGCCTTTGCCTTGTTAGCTTTTAGGAAGCATAATGCAAATCATAACACCAGCCTTACATACTTTACCATAAAAGAGTCAAGTTTTTGTGTGACAAAATCTCCCTCAGTTCTTGGGGCTGTCAAACAGTTTTTTACTCAGTAATGCTCAAACTGTAAATAGAATTCTGTAGCCTATGAAGTAGTGGCTATGTTGGCTACTTACTTACTCAAAGTATTACTTGATTCTCATTGCTCTGACCTTTTCAAATTTATCTTAAATGATAATAAAAGGCATACAACTTATTAAATTTTAAAAATTGACACTCAGTAATTATGGTCTAGTTTGTAGGAGCTTTTGTCAATGCTTTCAGAATAGTTAACTAAGAACTATGCAACAGATAGATGATGCTTATAACAAGTCTGTGAAGAAGGTGGCAACCAAGTTATTTTAAGTATCTAAATGGAGTTATGATAGCCTGCTGCAATTACTTGATATATTTTCAAGAATAGTCTAGATACTTCTTGGCCATTTAGTTGAGCATAGTCATTTGGGTGTCTTTACGCATCTTCAACCATCCTTTCTGTCTTATTTACTTTTCTCTTACTGCTGAGATAAAATGCCTGACATCCAGAGTTAAAGAAAGCAGGATTTATTTAGCTCACAGTTTGTGGAGGTTTCAGTCTATATGCAGTTGGCTCCAAGGAAGAGTGGTACATGGCAAAGGGGCACAGTTCTTGGGGGCAGACAACAGCAAAATCAGCCAGAGCAAAAAGGAGAAACAAGCCTCTTTCTGACCCTTTAATCTTAACCAGACTGCTTGGATGAGGGTGGTGACAATCCAATTAGGGGAGTGATCTAGCAGTCACCCAACCTTAACCCCAGCATTGCAATATGAATGAATCACAATATATATATATATATATATATATATATATATATATATTCAGTTATCTCCAAAAAAGCCCACTCCCCATGACTGAATGAGGTTTTGGGGGCGGGGGGATCTAGACACAAACCATAACACTTTCCTTGTTTTTATGAATTTGTCTTTTTTTGTTATGCTGGGGCTCAAACTCAGGACTTCATACATACTAGGAAATTTCTATACCACTGAACTACAGTGCACTGTTTTATTTTCTTCATAGCCATTTTTCTGCTCATTTTGGGGGGGGTACTGGGGTTCAAACTCATAATCTCCTGCTTGCCAGGAAGGTGCTTATGCCACTGTGTGCTCATTCTTTAAATATCCATGTTCCTTTACACCATTCCTTAAATTTTAATTATCATCTGCATTTGATGATTCCAAATCTACAGCTAAAGTTCAGAGCACTTTCTTAGGCTTCTGGGCTGGATATACCTGAGCACCTCTAGTTGGATGTTCTCAAACTCATCCTACTTCTTAGTGGCTCATTATTTCTCCCTTGTAAATTTAATTCTGCTCTTGCATTAGAAATTGCACAGAGTTTCTGTTCTGTTGGTCAGGAACACGATCAGCTACTCTGTCATCTAAGATCAAGGTCTGGCCTTCACCCTTCAGCTTTTCTTCTCCTTGACATCAACAGCCTATCAACAGCCAGTACTAAGACATTTAACCCCTTAATATTCTTCAGATACATGCTCACTTATTCTCGTCAGGTCATCAGCACTTTACCATTATTATCACTAAATTCTCCTCACTAGTTTTTCTGAATCAGATTTTCGCCCCTGAAACCTACCTGTCTACAGTTATTTGAAGAAAAATATAAAATGGTGAACTGACCTTATTATTTACAGTATTAAATACCTTCTGTGTTTTGTATATGTGTTCCAATAAGAAACAAATTCTATACTCCAAAGGCATTTTGAAGAGGGAAAAACTGAAGAGAAACTAATAAAGGAACTATACAAAACAGTTTTTTAGAGTAAACATGTACACATACGCTAAAAATAAAAGCAAAGCTACAATAAGAACTCATTAAGGCAGCAAGTGGGAAAGTAGCTCCTAAAATTCTCACCATCTTTGGTTGTAAGAGAGGTCTGTAAAAGAAATGGTGTATTCTGAACCTAACAAGAGCTACAAACAAAAAAAGGTGTCACTAAAAGGTAGCTATAGACTTAGGGGCGTACAGCCTTTGCCAAATCTCAGGCCTATTGTGAAGGAATCTGGAGATAAGAACCCAGAGTTCTCCCCCATCAGGCCCTTGCCTGTGCCTCCCATTGGTTCAAAATCACTGTCAGTCAAGGGACAAGATTATCTCTTTCTGCCTACAAAAGTCATCTGGACTTTCCTGGGAAAGATTGGTAACTATTTAGCACAGAAAGCTACTGAAGTTTTTTGTAAATCACTCCTGCCTAACAATTCTCTTCCATTACCTCTTTTGAGTGTAATGCCATAAGTGATGCTACTGTGATTATTGTTTTCTAAATACCTATGTTGTTTTGTGTTATATACATTTATTCTAATTATTTTTTTCTACATAAAATATCCTTTTTTCTACCTCAGTGATTTCCAACTAGAAGAAATTCTCTCTGTCCATATAGTACTTGACAATATGCAAATATTTTTGGTTTTGTCGCAACTATGGAGAAAGATATGTTACTAGCATCTATGGGTCAAAGCCAAAGATGCAGCTCAATATTGCATAATGTCATCAACAAAGAATTATGAAGCCCAATAAGTGAATAGCGCAAAGGCTGAGAAACCCTATTGTAGTCAGTTGGCCTAACATTAGCCCTTTGGATCTGCTGGACTCTTTGTTGCTATCACTTACTGCATGCAGTGCTTCCTTGGTTTTCTCCTCCTGGGTATTCTTGTAATTCCTCATGCAGATTCATAATTTTTATGCACCTATTGTTTATTCTTTTTCTTATCATCTGCAAAAATAAGCCAGGTTCACCCAGCTAATGAGAATAAATACTGTCATACTGGTGCTAGTACTGACATTTGTTGGGCAATGCTGATCTCCCTCAAAAGCTTCCCTCTCTATTTCCATCAGCCTACAAGATGTCTCACATATTCTTGGAAGTAGTATTTTCATGGTCTTGCTGTAGCATCCTTTTGTAACGCGCTACACCAAAGTTACCTGAGGAACATCTATACTGTGGTAGCTACCTTCATATTCCTGTGAAAGATATGCTCCCTGACCTGAGTGCCAGCCACAGCTACAAAATTCTCCAGGTGCTCAAAGTCCTTGCAGCACATCAGTTCTGTGTAAACTGGATGTAGATGCAGAACAAAGAGAATGTGCCCCTACCCAATTTGGTTCTTCACTTTCTTTTCGGGGCTCCAAAACAAGTGATTTACAACTTGTAAGATATAAAGTCACGTGCAAATATGCTTTCTGTGCCTTTTCTTCCTAGGCTTTTTAAAGTAAACACTTGCAACATAAGTCATTACCTCAATGATTTTGGTAACATTATTTACATTCTATAGCCAGTAACATCTCTCACCAAATAAAAAGGCCTGGACAGTCTCCAAGATATTTGCTAGCTTAAATTTGCATGGGAATCATAGGATGCCGGTGGAATCTGTGATGAGGAGAAAGAGAGCAAAACGGCTAGTGACAACAGACAAGGTGAGTCTTGTTTGTCAAATAAACAGAAAGAGCAACACAAGTACAGTGGCAGTGATACTGAGATCTCTTTCTAAAATTTTAAAATAGTTTTGGACTTGCAGAAAAAATTGCAAAAATAGTACAAAATTTTCCCATATACCTTGAGTTTACTTTAAAGTTTTCCATAATCATGGTACATTTATTCAGAGTAAGACACTGATCTGCACTATTAACTAAATTATAAAACTAATGCTGCTCTTCTGTTCTAGGATTCAGTCTAACATGTCTTGTTACATGCAGTTTGGCTTCTCTGTTGTCTCTTCCAGTCTTTGACAGTTTCTCAAATCCTTTCTTTTTCTCATGACACTGAAATTTGTGAAGAATAATGGCTAAGTGTTTTGTAGAGTGTGATCTAATATTGTCTCATAAAATTATTGGTTTTTGGAAAGAGTGCCACAGAAATGATGTGCCTTTCTTAATCTTAAAGTACAAGAAGCACGTGATGTCCACTTATTACTGATGACAATGTTGACCTTGATCACCACTTGATGGTGGTAGCTGCTGTGAATTTCTACTGTGAAATTACTGTTTTTTCCTCTTGTAATTAATAAACACCTTGAGAAATGATACCTCAAGACTTAGCAAATGTCCTAATTCTCCTCAGTCTTTCAGAGATGAATTTTAATTTCTAGGAATGGATCATGCCCACAATGATTATTCTGGTTTTTTTAGTGGTGATTTTTATTTCCCATTCTTTCTACAATTATTTATTAAAATTATTTTTTTGTTGTTGTTTGTTGCTGTGGTACTAGAGATTGAGCCCAAAGCCTCATGCATGCCAGGTAAGCACTCTACCACTGAGTTACAACTCCAGTCTCGGGAATTATTTTTTAAGAAAGAGATGTGTCTATCAATGAGACATGTCTGAGTTTATTTTTTTTTAAATAGAAAAAATCCTTTGTGATAAATTTCTTGCCTTGAGTATTACTTTTATCCTAAATTTAGGCTAACACCATTAATCA